TATATATATATATATGTATATATGTATATATATATATGTATATATGAAGAGATGCTTATTACAGAGAGTTTCACCAGAACGTGAATGGCTCCTTTTCTGTCTGAATAGGTTGAAGATCCTAGCATGCCCAACGACGAAGGGATTACTGCACTGCACAACGCTGTGTGTGCTGGGCACACGGAAATTGTGAAGTTCCTGGTGCAATTCGGTGTGAATGTGAATGCTGCAGACAGTGATGGATGGTAAGGCTTTCTTTAAGTAGTACATTACAGATGCTCTCCACAAGAGACCTACGGCTTGGAGGCTGCTACAGGTCCCTCAGAAGGGCCTTCACTTTGCTCCTATAGAGCTGGCAATGACTTTCCCACAATAGAGCAACAGCAGTTCTCTGTGGGGCATCATACGAGAATGCCCAGAGGAGAAAATAGGCAAATTATACTAATACTCCCTATAAGAAAAAAGTGTGTGTCTAAGGCCCGGTAGGGTGGATACAGTTGTCAGGAAATCACTGTGTTTCTTTGAGATATTGAGGACAGCTTATGCATAATGAGCCATTTGCTGAAATTCCCAATGTCCTGTCTGTGTGAGAGCCTATAGCTTACACATGCTCTGGGCAGTATCTAGCCCTGCAAACTGTCCTCAGTTCTTTGTCCAATACTCGGGACAACTTAAAAACAAAGCAGAAAACCACAGCCTAGGCTTGCAACTGATAATGGGATACAAATCTTTGCAGGTAGCTAGGGAGCTTATTTATTGGGGTGGGGGGGCAGTGATTTTACTATTATTTTTGCCTATTACAACAATGTCTAAGGCCCAAGACTGAATAAAGATTCTTGTGGTCCTTTGGCCTCAGTAGTTATCCCAATTACCTGCACTTGTCACCAAGTCTTGATGTAATTGTCTAGATTGTAAGAGGCATGATGTCGGAAGGATTTCTGAGTGGTTTTCTAATATTGTTTTTTTTTTTTTTTTTTTTTTTTTTTAATTTTTATTGCTCTAATGAATGTTCTTGAAATGTTAATGGATTAGGAAGAAGGTAGCATAACTAGAGATCCAGATGGAAACCCAGCTTTAGGGCTCAAGCAGCTCTTGGTAACTCCTGTTATCTATGAAAAGCAATTGTTCTTGACATCCTGGTTAAGTGCTTCTGGTGGGAAGCCTTCAGCGATGCAGTACTGATTGCTAGAGGTCACGCACAAAAGTAATTTGCCCCCAGGAGTCTGTAAGCCCCACTATGAGCAATAAAAGTAATGTGTCATCTTTTTCTTCTTGGCTTGCAGGACCCCATTACACTGTGCAGCATCGTGCAATAACGTGCAGGTGTGCAAGTTCCTGGTGGAGTCAGGTGCAGCTGTATTTGCGATGACCTACAGTGACATGCAGACGGCTGCAGACAAGTGTGAGGAAATGGAGGAAGGCTACACACAGTGCTCCCAGTTCTTATACGGTAGGTGATGACAACTGAGTTCTGGAGCATGCTAGGGACTCACCTGGCACTTTTTGGTATGTTTTAAGATGAGAAGTGGTAAGTTGCATGCTTAGGTTGTACGCCCATGCCTTGAGTTTCTCTTGCAAAGGGAGAGGTTTTAGCCAGCTTCTTGTCACAAAATGAGGTCCATCAAGACTAACCTTATAATATTGAACCTACAGAGAGGATCTGAGTAACGAAATGTTCCCTTACATCAAAAATCGTGAAATGAGTTAAACAGCACTCGTTGACAAATACATTACTGTGAGGTGATGATTAGGTGAGTCTTACCACATAAGTACTTTTTTTACATAAAAACAAAACTAGTATGGCTATCTCAGTAGGCAGTTCATATCTGCTACTGGCATCTTTTAAAGGAGGAGTATTTCCTAATGTGCACTTCAGAACCAAGAAAGGTATTGCCAAGGTGCTGCCTTAATGAAGGTTTCTAAGCATTGAATTTTACTTTATCTTTCTGGCCTTTCTCTTCGCTGGCATTGAAAAAGAAATCCCATATTAAATTTAGATTTTATTCAAAGACTAAGACTACAGGGGAGCTATCTTATAACAGAGAGGATGAATTCCCTTTAGGGTATGATGAGTATTAGTCAATGAGGTTTTAAACTACATTACTGGATGTTTTGTATGTAATGAGGCTTTAAATTACTTTTCTGTATGTTTTTTTTATGAAGTTCTTGTCCCCTACGCACCTACTAGGTGGAGCGTCATCTATCTGTAAGAGGTTAGAGTAATAGCAATGTAATATGGTGTAAAAAGCTGTAATACAGCCTTTCTGGTTTTGTGCAACATGTGAGATCTGAGTTTCTATAAGCTGTTCAGACAGCATATTTCAAAACAGTCTGTCCAGCTAACCTCACTAAGCTTGAAAACTGTATCTCTTGGTGCCAAATATATAGCCTTCCCTATGAAGGGAGGGACCCTATTTAACTAATATTGTAATCTGTGGGCTAAGCAAAACTCCAGTTAGTTTTGTATCCAGACTCCAGTGGTGGTCATCAACAGCAAATGCCCAAGGAAGATTGTAGGACTAAATGAAAAGTAATAATATTTGTCCAATATTTCTTACTGGTTTTAATTCTGATATGAGTTAAGAGATGGTATCTTTGTGTTGAATAGATCTTGAGTGATTTCTTTCAGGAATTTGTCTAATTCTTAAATTCAGGTAAACAGCCCACAGGATCCTGTGGGCAGGAGATCCATGGTTTTATTATATACAGCACAAAGAAACACATTCTTTTTTTTGTGCTGTTTTTTGGACCTACCATCTGGTAATCTCACTTGATACTCCTGGTTTTTGTTGGGTTTGGGATTTTTTTTGTTGTTTTATGAGACATTCTTGAGCGGGTCCTGAAAGGACTGTAAGGCTTTGGCTTACTGCCAGCTTTTCCAAACTGAAACGACCAAAACTAAGGTATCTCTTGATACATTGGTTATTCAGCTATCCAATTTCCATATTGTTCCATTAGGCATCAGTCCTATTGCTAAGACTGTATAGTTACAGTATGGAATTCATTCACTGGCTAAATCTGTTTCCGGCTGTAAAAAGTTTGGGGATGTGTATCTGTCTGTTTCCAGAACAGATACCGCATTATAAACGTGGCCCTGTAAACTTGTCTGTAAGGTGAGAAACCTTGGTGTAATTCATTGATTCACCTACCCCCTTTTTGTTGTAAATGATGCACAATATTGAATATCATCAACAAGTACAGGTAGGTTTAAATAAAACTGCTAGTCCCTTAGCATTGATTAAATGACAAGTCTGATGCTGCTTAAGTATGTAATTTTTCACTTTCTAAGATTTAATGCCTGTGCTGTCTCTAAGAGCATGTTTGCGCTGCTACCCTGTTACCACCTTTTTAGAAGACCAGATCCATTGTGTGAATATTCTCTTTGTCTGCTTTGATATTCAGTGTCCAGTCTTAACCCTTAATTGTACCAAATGCAAGGAGAGAGCTTCTCTGAGCAGAATTAAGCACGCAGTGGAAGTAATTTTATTTTATGTGATGACCTGGTGTGAGCAGGTGCTTCCTTTAGCAGACATAAGTAAGAATCCTATACAATAGGTTGTAATAGGTAAGAGATGGAAAGGGAAATGACAAGTTTTGCAATACGTCATGCAATGTACTCTTTGTTCCTGACAACACTGAAACCAAACAAAACAACTCAGTAGGATTCAGTATTTTAAAAAGGAAATTACCTGAGAGAAAGTTTGTATAATAGTTGATTGAGACATCTTTTCTGGTTTGCTGGTTAGAAGCTGAGGAATGTGTACAGAAAGAACAGTATTTCATCTTTGGCTACAGGTGTAAAATGAGCAAGTTCTAAATAACATCTGCAAGGTGTGTGCATGTACTCCAAAACTTTGGTCCAGGAGCAATTTAACAGAATTATGTTTCTGAAGTCAGTGTTTAAAAAAAATAGTTAAAATAGTGGCAGAAGTGAAGAACTGCCGAGATAAAAGTGTTTGAGTTAACTGAAAACAGCTGGTGGGTAGCAGACAATCTTTCAGGTCTAAGTCTGAACTGCAGCTTGTTTTAAACTTCTGAAATGAAGTGGCATGGGTGGCAAATGACACCTCAGGCATCAAAATGACAGTGGTGGTCAACATAAGCAGGTATTGCTATCTCTATCTGACAAAAAAGAGATTACTGATGAACTAAGGGTACATACATGTGTTTCTTGCTCATCACTTAGGTGTAGGAAGTGTGAACGCTAGTACAAAAATACCACCTTTCATCAGTCACTGCTCCTCTCCCCATTTACCTTGTATTTTTTGAACATGTGTAAGCATGGAATCTGTCTGCCATGTGCACAGGCTAACTTCACAATGCCACCTGTTCCAGGACTGACTTTCAGTAGGCTGATGACAACAAGGTGCTAAGTGTGATAGGAATTGAGGTTGGTTTGGTTTTGGTTTGTTTGTTTTTGTTGTTTTTTTCCCTGGACTGCTCTCCAGTAAGAGTACAGCAGTCTTTCCAACTGTTGTCTTTTTTCTTTTTTTTTGTTGAACTTTTTTATTGAGCTGCTCTGTGTTTTTAATGTTGCAGGAGTCCAGGAGAAAATGGGGATAATGAACAAAGGAGTGATTTATGGACTCTGGGATTATGAGGCTCAGAATGAAGATGAGCTCTCGATGAAAGAGGGAGACTGCATGACAATCCTGCGCCGGGAAGATGAAGATGAAATTGAGTGGTGGTGGGCACGGCTGAATGACAAGGAAGGCTATGTTCCCCGCAACCTGCTAGGGGTGAGTCCTTGATACTTCCAGAGTCAAAAAAACCTCAACCCACTATGTGGAGTTTACATAGCATGTATCTAGGTTAAGTCTAATTTCAAAAGTCAAGAGAAAGGAGCTAAAGTTCTCCACTTACTCATTTGGGGAGTTGCATACTTGGCAGAGTGGGTTAACACCCTCTGTTTAGATGCCTAACACATGTTGTTCTTTTATGCGCCCATTAATGTAATCTGTATCACCACACCGCCATAGCAGGTTCTAGGAGACTAACCTTGTCTCACCATCTTAGAGGGGAAAAAAAACCTTTTATCTGAACATGACGTGTGCAGAAGGTTTTGTTGAGCATGTGAACAGAACTGGCCTTCCCCTCTTTTAGAAAGTGATATACTGGCACAAAGGGCCTTAAGAGCTGAAATGTGTATGAAGAATGACTCATGAGTCCTCCCCTGTCTGGGTGTACACAGTGCACCTTGTGATCTGAGATGGTTTCACAGAGAGTTTTAAGATAAACACTGCAAAATTCTACAGTTATCTTTTTTCCTAGTGTTGAAAAAGAGATCACATTGCCAAATAAAGGCAGATCTTTGTTTTCTCCTGTGCTCTTTAAGTAATATTTAACCACATGTCAAAGGCCTTAAATGAATGATTTCTCCTTTCCTCGTCACCTTCTGTATTACCTCTTTCATTAAAAAAAAAACACTGTGTACAAATAATAGATACTTACAATTATCTCCCCGTATTTCTCCTCATGGCTGAGTTGCTAGAAAACTACAGCAGATGGACACATGTATAAAAATTCCATTAAGCTTTTTTTTTTCTACATATCCAGTTGCCCTGCTGCTGGAGATAAGAGGTTCTGCCAATGCTAAAGATTAACCGCTGTGAATTTTAGCTGATTGATGTATGATGCTTGAAAGAGGCTGAACCTGCTTCCTCATGCAGATAATCCTTACACTTAAACTGGTTGGATTTTGCAGAACGACTGTATCTAATGTAAAATCAGTTTTAATTTCTGTATCACTTTCAGGTCAGACCTACCCACAATATACTGTAAAATTCTCCCTAGCATAGCACTTCTGCTCATTTTTTTTTCCTCTCCAAATGTAAACGTTTCTAAATTGAAAGCAGCCCTGCACACTAAAGTCAGAAATGGTAGTGCTTTTTTTTTCCCTTCCCTCTGCCCCAGGGTGAATTGTGCACGTGCTATTTCTTCTTAAGTTTGCACACTCAGCCTGAGCGCAGGTGTGTAAGAACACAAGGAGCATCTGTGCTTCTGTAATAAAAAGCACAAGGCAACACATCTTAAACTGGGGATCGCAACTTATCCTTCTAAGCACAACACAATCCAGACAGAACCTTTTGGGGAAAACTACCCAAGCCCAATATTAACTGTTACGCTCTTGTGTCTGTTCAGTTGTTCTTGTACTGCTACCAACGTATTCTGTGGTTATTCCCAAAAGCAATTACTGGACTCCAAATACAGCAGCTGAAATCTAGGCTAAGATGTTCAGCATGGAGGAAAATGTTTGGTAGTTTAATATACTCTTATATTAAGTTGTGTTTTTATCACAGCTGCTTTATCCTTTTGCAGTTAGGTGTACTGAATAAAAACAAAGATGAAATTATCTGCATCAGTACTCTACCCTTCTTAAGTGACTCACTAGCTCCCTAAGCTGAGAGCGCTCTAAAATTGAACACAAATAAGATAATGCTGTCAAAATACTGAGTTCTTAGCGTTCAAAAGATTTCTTTTGGTATTATCGGGTGTTATGCTACTGTGACTGGCTGACTGAGTCTCTGCTAGTGGTGAAATCATAGCAGGCTGAGACAAACCTTGTGGGGGAAGTTGTTGGTCTTCTCTTCATCATTAGCTGACTGTGAAAAAGAGGAAAGCCAGAGTCTGGTTGAAGAGAGAAAAGGGCATCTTTAAGGAGAACTTTACACAAAAAACTCAGGCTGTAATGTAGACATGCATTGCAATTTAGAGCATGGAGGATTCATCTTTCCTAACCGCATGAAGCTTCTTCCTCTATTTTCATATGCCACCAGTCATGTTTTGCAGAACTGTAGTTGTTCCCAAATCGCTTTGCAAGTGGGAGTCAAGAGCTTCCCAAGAGTCGCTTCCCAAGAGTCTTGGCACTGCTGTGTGCTGTGTCGAGCTGTGTGCCCCATCAGTCCTCGCCCTGAGGCAGTCTCTGTGCATAACCAGGATGTGTGAATGGCTCATGGGCCACAGGCTAGCAGCTACTGATTTACTGCCGAGCAGTTAAATGAATTTAACTGGCCACCCACTATCCACTAACTAAAGCACAGCTCCTACAGTTCCATGGCCCTTATGCAGCCAGATGTTTCCAGCTTGCCCAAAGCTATAGATATGTAAAAGTTCATAGGCATTGAGAGAGAGAAAGTAAAACAGACTTTAATACCTCTCTATTTCCATTTATAAAACAGGGGAAATCCAATAGTTCACTGAACACAAAAGTCTCTTGACTTACAAAGCCATGTGCTTTTCCTAGCCCACCCATCGGGGTATAGCTGAAGATACTGAATTATGTGCTGTTCAATGCCTTCCTTTTGTACTGACATGATTAGTATTTTTTTTTTAAGCTTGCCTAGGAATGCTAAATTTGTATTTGTTAGTGCTCTGGGTGGTTTTTATAACCATGCTTTTGCTACTAGAGATTACATTAGAATTGTAGCACCAGAGAGAGGTTTTTCTTTCCTTTTTTTTTCTCTTTTTCTTTAAAAAAGAAATTAACCTTTTAAAGCACTAAAATTTTAAATCTCATTTCTGTTTTACCCTCAGCTGTATCCAAGGATTAAACCTAGACAAAGAAGCTTGGCATGAAATAGTACAGAAGCCAGATTCTTGAAGTACTAATCATGGATGACTTACAAAAAAAAAATCATTTTGTGTTGGTTCCAGTATCATGAGACTTATTTCAATGACAATGTAATTTGAAAGCTATGAAGAATGTGCTTTGAAAACAAATGAAGGATTGATGCATTAGCAAATGGATGAGGGCATTCGACAAGATGAAATAATGCTTACAAGCAAATGAAATTCTGCTCCCTTTGGTTTAAGCAAGCCATTATGTTCAAGTACCCACTCTGATTTATTCAAACATGGCAGAAAAGAATTTCACATTTTTCTGCATTAAATACAAGGACCTTTTCAATTTACCATTGAAGGAATCATCATGAAACAGACAACTTGGCTTTGTCCAAATTTATCCCGAGGCTTTTTCCAGACGAGAGAAATTAAAGTATGTGCACAGCACCCTAATGCTTACTGCTGGAAGCAGAACATTTGTTAAAGCAGCTAAACCGAAGTGCATCTGAACAGCAACAACCATGTGATGAATTGATTAAGCAATAACTTTTAAAAATGCTGTAGCATCTTAGGAATTCTATGTATTCGAAATATTACATGCTGTAACAGATAACGTAGTTTTAGATTCCTCATTTTACAAAGAGCCTCATGTATTTATTGTATTTTGTACTTTGAAACCGAAGTGTAGAAACTTTCTGTAGACCTTGACAACTTACTTGTTTTTACTTGACTGTGATACCATTAAACTTTTGTCTCCTCTTAAGTTTTAACTCTGGGTATTCTAGTATCAAGTTTTTATTAGACCATCTGAAAGTGTTACCAGGAAGACACACTGCTGTTCTATGTGACCCTACCATTCAACTACTTTCTGTATTAAATTAAGCCTATCCTCCCCCATTCATTTAAGACAGTCTTTCTGCATTTAAAATTAAGCTAAATCTTAGCTTTTAAGGTTAACAAAGGTTATATGCAACTAAAAGACATACTTAAGGAAGAAAATCTTGGTGCAAGTATTTTCCAAATAAAGCCTCTCCCATGGAACTATCCTTTGTAGCTATTAAATGATCATTCCAAAATAAATAATGAACACTATTTAATAGAGAGTATAAAATCTTTCCTTAAGAGTCTTTATGGACTGCCTCACCCTTCAGGCACCTGCTTTCCTTGTAGGAAAATCCTTACTGCTTTCTGAAATAAATACAGGACATTGTATGAAGGAGAACACAAACAATTTCCTCAGGTAGGCAAACTTGAGTTCTTACTTCAGCTGACTTTTAGAAGCAGCCATCTGCTCATGTTCACAGCCTCTCAGGTACAGGGTATATTAGTATCAATTACCTTTCTGGGAAACCTTTAGTTTTTCAAGTATTAATCTTTTAAAGTATCAGGCTATTTCATTAACTGACACACAGCCAGAGTGCCTAGTCAACTCTAGAATGATGCTGTTTTTCCCCTTTAAAAGGCAACATACATATTCTGTTCCTGACAACAAAAGCTCTGCAGCTTCTGTGATGATCCATCTATAAGAAAAAAATGTGCTTACTTGCAGAAGGAGTGAGAGTCTTGCAAGCTTCAGGTCTACGGTTTTTATTTAAATACTTTCTTGTATTTCAAAGGAAGATAAGATACAGGAAATCAAGATTCCACCTGAGAGCATGGGCTTTCTCTTGGATGAGTCTGGTTGCCAGCAGCCTCCTGCTACAGGCACATCAATGGTCAGGAGGGAAAGACTTGTCCTTCAGTTTGCTCAAACATGTACTTGCTACTCAAATTCTTCAAAGCCTATTTAACCAGACTACTCCTGGGGCTTGACAGAGAGGACACAAAGGACCCATATCTTACCTAAACACCTGTATTCAGGGATATGCAATACCATCCCTTTTCCAGTTTTAGATATGCAGGATGGAGCAGAGCTGTTATTCAGAAAGCAGTTATTAAACCAGACTGTCAAGCTATAATAAGCTTTCTTCCAGAAGTCATGTAAAACACCTTAAATACAAAGATATTAGCAAAGCAGTATTTTCAAAGGTTGTACTGAGGATTTATACTAAACTAAAGCTTTTGTGGATATATAAAGAAAGACTGTCAGACCCATAAAACTTAAAAATGAGGGTGCAGATTCTTCTGTTGTCGAAGTAGAATGCTTTCTTTCTTAATAACTGTGTGCAAAATTTGCCATGCATAAGTTAAGGCACATTCACGTTAAGATATTACTTGTGTGTTTGCTTGATTATCTTCACCTGATCTTGTTCTTTTTGGAGGTCTCTTGAGCTGGTGTCAGTGGCTCAAATGACAGTAAAGCACAGCCACTGTAAGAAGAGAGAGAGGAAAATGGCCCGAGGTTAAGCTTAGTAAAAATACCTGTAGCAAGTATGCATGTTCCCATTTCTACCATGGGGAAGAAAGCCTATTGTTACAGAAGTAATTTTAGGATCATTCCTGAATGATTTAAATTTATACCTCATTTAAGTCAGAAGACTTTTGGGATGATCTGCACATTCCTCATGTAGGTCCAGAAATAAGTTATGTTTAGGTAATAAGCAAGTTTAACACGTGTAGGAGGGCAGTTTTCTCCTAACTTAGCCCTTTCTACAGGGCATACGGTGCAGAAAGAAGCAGACGTGGTCAATACCATGAGTCACTGCTGCACCTACATTTTTACCCTGTTTGTTGTTGACAGAAAAGGCAGCAAAGAAGCCTGCATACGTATCAGCCAAAATTACTGCCAGAAAGGGACAAGTGGCATCAGGTTTAAGCAACCTGGCCTCTTTGTTAGAGAATACAATGTCATGTAGGTACATACTAGAAAAGCGTAACCTTTCTCAAGACTGCTTATAAATACACAAGCTATATAAATCCAGCAACTGTGAATACATATAACCAGCCAGAATTGGTCAGAATAGAGCAGGACAGTCTCTACTGTTAACCCATTCCTCCTGCCAAAAAAAACCCCCAAAAAACCAAAAAAACCAAAAACTACAATAAACATTTTAGAGCTAAATGAACTTACATTAATGAGGTTCAATTCTATTGTTCCAGTTTTCTCAGTATCCAGTTTTCTAAACATTTCTGTGGTGAGAGAGAGATGACAAACAAGGATGAATATGGGAACAAATTGTAATGGCTTCCCGTTTCCTCTGCTTCAGGATCAAAAACGAATTTAGTCCTAGATTCCAAAACTCGTGACAACGGTCTATACCCCAAACTAGAAAAGGTCACTCTAAAGTCAGTGCATGCTCGTGTGCAAGAACAAGACTGAACACTTTTAATGGTTCAGTCTGCAATATTGACATTATTTGTCAATCTGTAAGTGTTTCAATTGATTCTTGGTTTTAAATCAACATTTAGTTGTTTGCATGGAGGACTGTTCGGCTCTGGTTCAGCAGCCTGGCCCAAAAGGCTGATTCCTAGATCTAGGAGGAGCATGCAGACTGGCTTGCTGGATTTATAGCTCAGCTTTGAAGTTGCCTTGGTTCCAGTACAAAGTTTTCTGAATAAATTATCCTGAACTTGAAAACACAAAGCAACACAGTCTGTCTGGTTATTAAGCATGTACTCACTGAACAAGGTTTCCAGCCGAATCAAACACCGGACAAAGTTATCAAAGTCAATGATGAGGTCTTCATCAGCAAAACGAGCCACAATGATTTGATGTAACTGGCAGTTCAATTTGAACCCTAAAAATACAACATGATTTAAAAAAGAGGAGGAAGAAAAAAAAAATGCAAAAAGCTCCAACCAACAAAATACCCCAAACCTTATACACTGTTGGTTAAAGTTGCAAATTTTAAGAGTATTTACTCCATTTTGGAAACTCCTCCCAACAACCCCTTCTGTACTTGGAGTGATTTTAGAGCTGTGACTAGGTCACGTGTGTTGTTCCTGCTGCATGTGGTCCCACACTTGCACTCTTGTTTCCCAGGGGACACGGCCAATTGCTCCAGCTCGTGGTCCTTCCTTGGGTGATGAGGCGGCTGACTCAGCCCCCTGAGACCTGAGATGAAGCAATGGCTTTCTGTAGGCAAATGGGTCTCTATTTCCAAAGAGCATCTAAATGCTGGGACAAAAAGAAATGCTGCCTCATCTTACGCAGCGACAGGAAGAGAAAGCTCCAGAGAGCCCAAACGCTAATGTTAAGATGGCCCCAGAAGATCAGGAAGTTAATCTGAGATTGTAGGGCTCTGTGATACCTGCCTCAGTCACTACCATAACTCACATTTGCTTTTCAGTGGTTGCAGTAGCAAATCGACCCTTCTGAGCATCACCCCTTGGTCCAGCCACTTCCATTCCCTAGGTCACAGCCTCACTCCTACAGGCTTCCGCCAAACCCCCAGTCACCCAGAGGTGCTCATTGAAAGATGACAGTATGCCGTTACGAGACCAGATTGTTGTGCTTCAAAAGCTGGTCACTAGAGAAAATAACCGCAAACCTATCACTCCTTTGAGATGCTTTTAGCGTGCCTGCGTGCCAACACACTGCTACACAAAAACAAGAGCCCAGGCTGCGCATCCAGATTAAACGGAGGCCTTTCATCAGGTCTGGGAACACAGGATTTTTCAGCTGACAAGTGGTATACAGGAGATGAGTGAGCTTCTATCAACCCACCTTGAAACTGATAAAATCCTAAAAAGAGACAGAACAATACAAATACCTGCTGTTTCCAGCGCTCTCCTCATCTCATATGAATTCATGGTACCAGATCGATCCACATCAATTTCCCTGTAAATTTTCTGCAGAAAACCCCAAAGTCAAAACTTGTCAATAATTCAGAGCATGTTTTGGCTTTAGTCAGATGTCAAACATTTTGAAATGCAGCCTGCATGCTGCTCAGGACCATTTGCAACGTTTGTCTGAAGGACTAGGTACTTATCCCCAAGTTCATCTAAAAGTGGCTTTAGAAAGTCTTTTTAATGCAGCAGCCAGAGCAGCCAGAAAATTCCTTGAATGTCTGTGCAAAACAGCACTATCACTTCCCAAGCAAGCAGCAAGACTGACATTAAACTCACACAGTTAAGTGGGAAGGCTAAACATATTTGGACACGAGTTAAAACAAAACAGAAACCCCTCAGTGAGTAAGGCAGGAAAACAGGCAGCCTCTCCCTTCAGCCCTTCACCCAGGGCTGAAGCCATCACACCCCTGGGCTCCAAGGGGCAAAACCTGGTGGACCAAGGACACACACGCATCGTGAGCTGAACTGAGAGTCCCTGCTTTGGGAAGTGTGATTGTATACACTGTCCGAGGCAAATCAGTCTACAGCCACCGCTACATTTGATCCCCAAAAGGCTGTGTCTTACCTGGTATTTCTGAATCTTTGTCCAGAGGGTGTGGAATTCCTTCAGTCCCAGTTTACCACTCCCGTCGTTCTTCTTTGAGTTAAGGTAAGCTCTTTGGAAGGAAGGAAAAGGGTTTCCCCGCCCTGTGTTCGGGAGTTGTGACAATACTGAAAAAACCCCCAATATTGCAATTAAGGATGCAAGTCCTCTCTGAAGGACTCATCCTGTCGAATACACAACTATTGTCCAAGAGTTCTCTTACTAAAACAATAGGGTGATTGATTCATTTAAACTGTGACCATTTAACAAGCTCCTTCTGCTCCTCCTATCTTTTCGACAGATGTGTAAAAGAGCCGAGATGATGCCATTTTGTTCTGC